CGATGGTCTGCAGTTCATTTGTCAATGTCGCGGTTTTATTAATTTTATTTGCGCCGATTGAAAGGTCGATTCCCACGCCGGATGTGCCATGACATTGGCTACCCAGCTGATTCCATCGATTCCAAATTTACACTCGGACGCAGAACCACAGAGAGGAGGAAGATTGCAGCAGCACACAGAGGCGCAGAAGAACAGAGAGCAGAAGAGTGAGAAGAAGAACACCACAGCCAAAAGAAAAGAAAAGAAAATTCAAGAAAAAGTATCAATCTTGTGTAAATGTAGTAGCCGGGCCGTCGCAATCATGCGTATATATATCGTATTTATACACACCCCACGCACACAATGAACTCCTACCTTATAGTCAGACCCCGCAAGGAAGCGAGGAACAACACACTCCAGGGGGGGGGGAGAAAAGGTGGTGGCGCCAACCAATCTTTTTTTTTAGGGCAGGGGAGAAAACTGCAAAGGGAGAAAAGTTGGCGACACAACAGCCTTTGTGTCTCCTTGGTGCTATAAACAAGATTGCAGCAGAGGAATGCATGGGAGATGGTGGCTCAGCAACCACCACCCACCATACAAAACAACACACACAAACACACATCCATATTTCAATGAAATCTAGAAAAGATTTCAACTTGAGGGGAGGGGTCGGTTCTGGGCCCAAAAAGCAAGCTCAATGCAGCAAATGCCCTCTCTCTTGTCAAGCTGAATTCAATGTGGATTCTCAAGGCCAGCAGGACAAATACAAACCCGGAAAAAAAAAGGAGGAAAAAGGAGGAAGAAAAAACTAACAATTGAAGGGGTTGTCCAAGACCCACGAGCATTTCGCCATGGAGTAAATACACCCCGCCAAGAAAAAAGTTACACAAACGACGGGTGGAAAATTGTTGTTGTTGTTGGTTGTTTGCGGCATTGCGCTTCATTGCGCAAGTGTTATGGTTCTTGTATCATATGTGCAATATGTAGCTAGGTGCCTAGAATTCATTTCATGGCCTCTATGGTTGAAAGCATGCGTTGTTTTTTTTTTTTCCGCTGGGTTCAGGTTGGTCTTCAGGCTTCAAAGAGAGGAAATAGGTCCATGGAGTTTTTTCTCAGCCCTGCCCTGGCCAAAGGTGTGCATGCATGACATGCCACCCACCACCTTCAAAATGTATCACTCAATGTTTTCCTAACTTGTTTGGGGGATTCGCCGCCCGTCCGGCCGGTGAAAGCTGCTGCTGCGGGCTGACATGACTTCCTATGTATCTATCTAGTATTTCTGTTTCTCTTCCTTACATTGGCTGATATATATTCCTAAATAAATTGATTTCATTTTTTCTGAATTATTATCTCATCTTTCCTACCTATGAAGCGTTAGTGTGTACCCTTGGGGCTTCTTATCATCCCCTCCACGAACACGACAGTGGGAGATTTTGACGCATCCCGACCGCGACGTATGTGATATGACAACGTCAACAACATTGAACAACAACCACACACACACCCACAAACCAACAACCGTGTGCCTGTTAAACTCATTCGCAAGCCCTGGGCCGGAATTCAATCCCATATGACCCCCCTAAATTTCAACAAACAAAGAGGAGGAGAGGATCTAAACAGCACCAGCACCAGAATATTATACTTTTTCCGCCACCTCTCTGCTAGATCGTCTCCAGTTATTCAAACTCAGACAGCATTACAGGAGAGGCTTTAAGAGCTTAATTGGTTCTTGCGATGGACTGGTATGTGTGTGTGTGTGTGTGCGTGTATACATGTATGCATCTGCCAGCTCTGGCTATGGTTAGTTGGCGATTGCTATGTTAAAGGATGTGGATGGCTGCTGGATGGATATTTTTCTTATAAATATTTTGATTCCTGGACATCAACAATAAAACCATGGTTAGAATTAATAATTGGCGAGACTTTGTCTGTTGCTGTTTGTTATTTGTGTCTCTGCTCCAAACTTCCTCCTCCTCCTTTTGGTCCTAAGACCCCCACCATGGACTTACTGGGGATATTCCCGGGCATCTACAGGCAACAAAAGCATGAGATTGTGTGTCATAGTGGTCCCAAGCCAGCCAGGCAAGCAGAAACGAGGCACAAGGTGCCCACCGGATTCGAACGTCTCACCGATTCTTCCAAATGGGAAGAATATACCGGGCATCTTTCCCAGAGATATAGTTTGAACAATGGTCAACCATGTGAAGCAAGCAAGTACCGGGACCCAGCGCCGGGCGATCCGATCCTTCCTTGCTGCCCAAGTCTCTCATCTCCCAGAGATGGTGCGTCCCATTCGCGGCAATACACAACAAATATAAAATCCATATATATTCTCCCTTGGGCAAACATGGTGGCCTCTCAGTGGATGGGGAATCTAGACAGAGCAAGCTTGCGGTTGAACCTACCCGGCACTCCCTCTCTCTCCCTCACTCTCTCTCACTCCCTGGCAAGAAATTTCATAACAATTTCATGAGTTCTAGAGAGATCTTTAAACTATTTCCCTAATTATTAGTATTTTGTTCCATATTCAGATAAAAATAAATAAAATTTCTATACAATATCTCAACCGCACAACCCCACACATCAAGCACGCTTATTCTCCCTACGCTGGTTCGTTCCCGGCTGGAATTGACACAGCCGGGCAGCCGTGGATGGGCCACACCCGGGCGGAACGTACGGCCGCGAGGAATCTTTCTTGGATATGCAAAGAAATTATCAGTGGCGGTGCCAGGTTGGTGTGTCCCTCCCCCAACATTAACAGATCAAAATCGCGGGAAAAAGAAATAGTTTCAAATCGCGACCTCGCAATTCCAATGTCAGGGGCCATGGATATGATTATCAAAAACATCAACCAATGAGAAATCACGAAAAAACAATACACATGCATAATAAACAATGTATATGGATAGAAAATTGGTGGCCACGACCAAGCAAATGGGTCCCGTACATATGTCCACGGGGATAAGTACGGACTGGCTGAGGTGGCAGACAGGAGGGTCCAAAATCAGGCAGATGCCCAGGCAACGCCATCATGACGCCCTCTTCCCAGTCCTTGCACGAGGACACGTGGCAACAAGCCAATGCTCTACGAGTGGGACCCGCGCCCTCGAGTGCGCGGACACGCTGCAGTGGCAGGCAAGGCGTGGGGCCCGCCACGCTGGCCAGAACCGCGCGGGACGCGACGAGGTCGCCAGCGCGGTTTTGCGGCACTACGGTCTCGGGCCACCGACCGCGCGATATACCGTGCGGGCGACCGTGAGTGCGACATACAGGCCACGCCAGCCTCGTGCCTCGCGCCAAAACATTTTTGAAAACCAGAAATTTAAATTTTTGGGGAAACTTAGTGAGGAAATTTGGAGGGGGTGCCCACATGTCCCTCCAACGGTCCAATCATGCCTCGGTATGAAAATTTGGTCTGGGTTGATGACGTTTTTACCCTTTCATATTTACCCGGACGTGACGGGCCACGTGGGGAGGGCTTCAAGCGCCCGGAAGGTCCCGTGACGGGCCACCCACCGATGGCGCGCCCGTCAACGTTCGTCATCGCGATCTAGTAAATGACACCAATCCGACGGTGCCGCTGGCTTAGGGGTCCCACGTGGACGGCCGTCGGACCGCTCGTGAAGGCAGTAAAAGCCCCACGTAAAACCTCACGCAATATCTCCCCTCCCCCGTAAAATTCAAAGAACCCTAAAACCTCTACATTGTCATTTGTCTACGTTTGGTGGTGGACATTTACGCCACCTTTGTGGTGCCTAAGCACGCGATCTTTAGGGAATTCAGACACGAAAAGGTGGCGAGTCTCTGTAAACCGTTGTTGTTTTGCGGCATGCCACCTTTAGTTTGCCCCCTCTTGTTATAAAGTGGGTGTTTGTCATGTTATCTTCAAAAGATCACAAAAGCATATAAGTGCAACAAGGAGTTGGAAGGAACAACACCTTTAGAGATCTATGGAAGAAGAGAGAAAGCGCGAAAAGAGAAGACGAGGAGGAAAAAAAAACTATATATCTCGATTGATCGATCACACCCTCCTCAAAAGCAAATAACAGGAGACAATGATCCACCCAAACATATATAGCTAACTTCTCAAGATTGGCCCTAAAATCTTTTGTGCATGCAATGGTCTTTCAAAAGCCTCTTTCACGTTTGGCCTCGTTCATCATCCATCCATGCAAAAGAGAGATGCAAAAGAGGTGGATTTTAGGTTCGCGCCCAATGCTATACCGTACTCGTCCATGCAGGATACCCGTACGGGCCTAAAAAAAAACCATTGTTAACAACGGGGTTGGATTGGACTAGATTTGCTCAATCTAACAATGCAGGAATTAACAGTATACATTGAAGAGCGAGGCGAATCTCTACGGGATCATTCTCTCCGCGGCGTCCAGAGCCGTACAGTAGAAGATTCTGTGCCGGGTTAAGGCTAACCGCCATGGTTGTTTTAGTGCATGTTTACCTTAACCACCCAGTTAATCACTGGTGGAGGGATCCCTGCATTGCGAGACGCCGCATGTTTTATTCTCTCCACACTACCTTAGGGTTTAAAAACGTGTATATTCGAGAGCGCTCGCGAGCGCGTCTTCTACCTATATAGGGAGCGCTTCCCTTCTTCTCTTTCTTGCTCGCGCGGCGCCATAGCCTAGCTCTCTCCCTCCTGGATCAGTCGCTCGAAATCTCGTGCCAATCGCTCGAAATATCTCCGTTCTCGCAGTCCGTGAGCGATCGGTGGATTGAGAGAGCGTTCTTTGCTGCGATCGGTGCAGGATTTCCAGATCTTGGAGCGAAATTTCGATCGGCGGGGCGGCATCGGGCAAGCGCTCATCTCTCCGGCGCTGAGGCGATTCTTCCCTGTGCGCAATTGGCGTGGCTTCTCTCCGGCTCGTGTTTCCTCCTCGCCATTCATCCCTTGCCAGATATTCTGTGTTTCTTGCTCTCTTTCACACACCGCGGCGCAGCGCAGCGCGGCACGAGTGTGTACTCGCTCTCGCAGCACATTGCTCCACACGCACGCGCGACGCTCTCTCCTTTCTTTCTCTCCTCGCGAAATTTCCAATTCTTCTTCCTGCCGGTCGCTTCCAATTCTCCTTGCGCAAGATCGCCTCCAAAGGCCCCGGAAAATGCGAAAGATATAGGTACTGTGAAGCGTGCGTGAGAATTTTCGTGTCACCAAGTTTTCTCGCGACGATCTCATGGTGTGTGTGTTCCTGGTGTTTCTTGGCGTCTGGAATTCTTCCTTCCATCTGTTTCTCATTCTAGCCTGTGAATTCTTTCCATCTGTGGCCTCTCTCCACGGCCTTGCTTGCGAGGAGTTTCATGAAAATGCGGCTAAGTTGTTGAGAGCCTGAGTAACGCTTTTGTTCCTTGCTGTTTGCTTACTGGATCCAGATCTGTGCAGATTTTTCTCGTTATTCGTAGCGAAGAAGACTGATACCCGCGCCGGGAGCGAGACAAACAGTCTACAGCGAGCCTTTGAGGTAGAACATCGTGATCCAACAGTTCCTAGTGCTTGCAGTTTCTTCGAGAGAGCGAGAGAGGGAAAAACAAAGCAAAAAATAGTGGAGGGATTTTTTCTTTTCTTTTGCTGAATTCGAGCACTCTCTAGACTTGTGTGTGTACTGAAGAATTTGGTGTGCTCTTGCTTTCCTTCTCTCCAGGTTTGCATGTTGGTGAGCGTTCCAAGCAGCAGCGGGTCATGCTGCTAAGCAGCTACAACCATGAGCCGCTGCCGGGCGATTGTTTCGAAGAGTCCTCGGCTCTCAGCTCGCAAGGCGGAGAACTAATGCTGCCATCGTCCAATTCCGCCGCTGGGCCCCTGCCCAATTGCTCCATGCAGGTGGAGCATGGCCTCAAATCCTCGTCGGGTGGCGGTGGCGGTGGCGGTGGCGGCGATCAGTCCTCGGCTCCCACTCGGGCTCTCCGGATCAAGCCACAGCCAAACCAGGTACTCAAGTGCCCGCGCTGCAATTCTCTCAACACCAAGTTTTGCTACTACAACAATTACAGCCTCACGCAGCCGCGCCACTTCTGCAAGAACTGCCGGCGCTACTGGACCAAAGGTGGCGCGCTCCGCAACGTGCCAATTGGTGGGGGCTGCAGGAAGAACAAGAGGGCCAAGCAGAACAAGAGCTCGTCGTCGGATCAGTCGTCCACTGTCCCGGCAGTAGAGAAGGCCTCCTTTGGCGGTGGTGGCGATCACTCCCTGGCTGGGCGACACGGGCAGCTGCTGGCCGCTTCCACGTCTAGCCTGTACGAGGACGGAATTCACGAGCTGGCCTACTCGAGGATCCCGCACAGCCTGCGACTGGGCGATCACTCGGGCAGCAGCGGGCTGTCTTTCGAAATTCCGCGAGTTCCAGGCGGTGGCGGGCACCAGGCGCCCTCGTTCATCAATCTCCCCGCGGGAGCTTTCGAGGCCGGGGCCGAGCACGGCCTGTCCACCGCCACGCTCAACTTCCAGGGGCTCATGAAGCACGAGAACGGCGGGGAGTTCGCGCCCATCTACGAGCCGTCTTTAAACTTGCTGGGCGGAGCTGGCGTGCCCGCGGCGCCGCCGCAGCTGAGCGACACCGGGCTGGGGCCGAGCGGGTTCAGCATCGGGCTGGACAATTTCGTGGGACTGGGACTCAACGGGGATCTAAAGTCGTGGAGACAGCAGCAACAGCAACAGCAGCAGCAGAAGATGACGGCTCTGGAAGGCCCGGAGCAGCAGCAGCAGCAGCAGCAGGATGGAATTGGGATTGGAATTCACCACCACCACCATCTCCACCAGAGCTTGCTGGGCCACTTGGCCGCCGCGGATCACGGCTCATCCTCCGACCGGCCCCCGAAAGGAAAGTCCCAGGATCGGATTCACGACTCGCAGCATTCGTCTTCGGAGTGGCAGGGCCAGCAGCAGCAGCAGCAGGAGTCATCGTTTCTGGAGGCGGCGGCGGGAGGGGGAACAGGAGGAAGCGGCGGAGGTGGTGGTGGCGGCGGCGGAGGAGGAGGTGGGGGAACGGGGGATAGCACTGCATACTGGAACAGTTCTACAGGCTGGCCGGGGATAGTCGACCTTCCCATCTATGTCGATCATCAGCAGTACTGCGACGTCAAGCCTGTGGAGCAAGGCGTGCCAGACTTCTACTCCAGAGCTCCTCCTCGCTGCACATCTCTAACGTGAAAGTCGACGACACACACACACTCACACACAACACACACATCTTAGAAGTTCCATCGATCAACAAATTTACGACATCACTAGTACAAGAAGAAGTTCCTCCGCTCCGCCCTTACGAAGTCTCGAGAATTCTTTTTCCTCTCCAGCTAGCAGCAGGGGCCATAAGATCCAACGCCACACTCATTGAGTCATCATCATCATCATCCACACCGCGAGACGACGTCGACGATTTTATAAGTACCGCGCGAAGTTTTTTTTCCCGCGAGCGATCATCGAGAGGATCCGGATCCCTTTTACTTATACACTTACAACAAGAACAACAAGACAACCAACGCACACTCTCACAGCTCATACACTACGACCGACGATCGATATAACGAACGCGACGTGCGACTTCTTAACAGCCAGCCGCTGCTGCTTCCAGGGACTCCGATTTCCATATGGTGAGAAATTCCAGTTCCAGGGATTTTAGAGTTTCTGACAGGGTTTATCCTATGTTCCAGGTCGCAGACTCGTGCCTCGATTTTCATCCTTGCCCACCGTAGGTAGCGCAGCAGATACGAACGCGGTAGTTTTACAGGAGTAAAAAGAAAAACGAAAAAAATGGCGGTGGAATCGCACAAAACGGAGGAGTTTTAAGAGCACTCCCGATCAAAGTCACAAGCGATCCAAGCAAAGTAGCAACAAAAGTGGTAATTCTTTCGTTCTTTCCTCCCTCTCTTTGATGTTCTTTCTTTTTCCTCCATTTGATTTGTAATGAACATATTGCTTTTGTACACGACTTCTCTTGCAACTTTGTCACACTTTGTCTCGTACGGAAGTTGCGACTCTCGGGCGGAAAAAAGCTTAGAAGAAAATTTCAGGTAGCTTTTGCTGGATCAAAAGAAAGATCTTTGGACAAAAGCTAAGAAGTTCGTTCTTGTCGTCTTTGGATAAGCCGAAACTTTCCATAGTTCTAGCTGCTGAATCTATCGATCCGTTTATGAATCGAGGCTTTCTCCCCCAAAGATAGGGAGGAAAATTTCTTTCACGTTTTAGATGTCCAGAAGATACCAGCACACTGTTCTTCATTGGTTTTTGTTTCTCTTCTTCGAAACAGGCAATGTGGGTGAGCATGAGAGTTGGATTCAAGAAACCGAGAGTGCAAAGAGATTTGTGGAGGATTTCATGGTACACATACACTCTGATCAAGGCCCAGTACATAATCTAGAAATGAATTGATCTCACATTTCTAGATCTCTCCTATCCTCCCTCTGGTTCTGCGGCTGTGGCTGTTGCTGCAATTCTGCTCAGATGCTACTCTTGTTTGGAAAAAAAAAAAAAAAAAAACCCATAAAAACTGTAAAATCGTATAAAATTCAAGACACCATTCCCAAAATCTCTGCTGCTCAGGCTGATGTTCAAGAGCCTCAGGACAGACTACGTTTTTTCTTTTAATTCCATCTAATTTAGAAAAGGTGGCAAAATTTACAATCTTTATTATTAGTAATATAAGGGCAAATGGGACCTTTATAAATGGCTGGCAAGCGCAGAATGTACGTATTCCTTGGTTACAAATAACTATGGCGGGTGGTAGGCTCTCATGATTTGGTCTGCAATTCGAGGAGGGTGGTGCCGCATTATTATGTCTGGTCTTGATCCCAACCCTAATCTAAGCTGCAAGCTTGTTCAACACTCACCCAAGAAGTGCAGGAATAAAAACGCCCTCGTTTGTCGACAGACCCTACGAAGCACTTATGTTCCTCATCAGGATCCTTTTTTTTCCCTTCATGCAAATCGAGGGTGCCTCAAATTCCTAGGAAGGGACGGAAGGAATGCTAAGAACCCTACTACTAAACTTTTGTTCCGGGAAATCTTCCATTCCATGTTTATGTAAGCTACTGGCGTCACATCCCACAATGCCGCTGCTGCATCACCTGCACGGGCCTAGAGACGCCCAAACATTCTAGGCTGGGTTCCAATATACATGTACTCCAAGCCCAGAAATATTGTAAAGAAGTGGCTGCCTACACATGGTGCTCGTACTGTGTAGACATGCCATGCTAATCAATTGCTAAAACGCTTGTCTTGTATGGGCTGATTGGCAATATTCCTGCAAATAATATTCATATTATTAAGAAATACAATCTGGGAGCGCAGCAGAGTTCAGGCCCCAAGAGTGGGACGCATATGATCATGGAGTATCTACGCATTAATCTATCATAACATTCTATCCATTCTGCCTAACATTCTCGGCAATGTTAAACATTTAGAGATTAGGAAAAGAATGGCTCTGTGAGTAGCACTCATGCGCCTGACTGATGCTGCTGCTGCTGCTGCTGGTTTCCTGCTTGCAAGAATTTGGTATATTAATCTGATCGTACCAACTTGCTCAGGGATCATATAGAGTTCTTCTCTTGGGCGTGTTCAGGTTTGCTTTAGACTTGTATGCATATGCTCATGTCAAGATCGCTTGGGTTAGATAAACTTCAAAATCAATATTGCCTGGTCTGGCTACGTGACAATCCCTATGAATGAGCCCTCTCTCACTCCCTCCTTTGATTCTTGGTAGTGGTTTGGTTGTGCACCTTGGATTATGACTTCTTTCGGTGATGATGCTTGAATTGCGTCTAGTGCCATATGTTGTCACACTGGGTTGTTGTGTCGTCTATGAAATTTGCATTATTTTGAAGCCATAAAGTATTTAAAATTTTCAAAGATAAATTTCAGTTGCAAAAAAAAAAAATTCTTCACAAAGATAGTTTTAAAAGAAAGCTGTTAGCATGTAACAGCAACGTGCATTAGCGATTGCAGAAGCGGGAGAGTAATATAATCCTGCGAAGAAACAGTATGAAGATTGAAACCTTAGCATCTGGAAGCACTAACAATAAGGTTGACAGCTTCTCCAGCGCCAGCTCTTGAACGTAGCAACTTCTGTGTGCTGTGCACCTGCAAGGCCGAAAGTCTACGAGGGAGAAAAAATTATCAAAGCGTAGCTTTTCGTGCCTGTGTTCTTGGATGTGTCAAGCCGGGCAACTCTCGAGAGCTGAGAGCTCATTCCCATTCCTCCATATGCAGCGTGAGGGACGGTAAGTACTTCCCCACGTAGCTCTCTCTAGCAAAAACCAAGTTTTGTAAAGCTCTTCTTCTGTATAAACGGAGGAGCTGGGGACCTTGGAACCTCGATCTCCAATGCTGCAATGCTAAAGCCAGTCCCAATTCTGTTGAAACGAAACATTTCATCTGCTATACCTTTGGATCTCTCATCGATTGCTCTCTCGCGAGCGTTTTTTATACTCGGTTCTTTGTTGCCGGTGGTACCGGCGGCGGCGTTGTGATCACTCTCGTCTGATGGAATCCTCCTTCCATTGTTCCATCGCAGCATCACCCTGGGGCATGGAAAAAAAACTATCTACACAGCTACAATCACTGCGAAGCAAAGAAAAGAGAGAAAGAGAATCTCTCTTTCTCGAGTTTCTAACTGGCTCGAGAGGAAAGCGAAAAAACGAGCTGCGCAAGAGCCCTAAAATCGCCCTTTAGGGCATTTCCGTAAAATGATGCTGACTTTAATGTCTTAATTTTGTTAGCAATAAAAAAGGGCATTTGGTCTAGTGGTATGATTCTCGCTTCGGGTGCGAGAGGTCCCGAGTTCGATTCTCGGAATGCCCCATTAATCGTATAGATTCCTCTTTGTTTACACCTCAGCACAAGACCAGTAATTCCAAAGCTACCTCCATTCTTCGTTCCAAATTCGGCAATGTTGGTGAAAGCATAGTCCTTTGCGTAGATTTCCTTGCCGACGATCTTGTAGATGGCGGGAACTCACGGCCTGGTATGCGTATGGAGTCAGTCACTGTGTAGAACATTGTTCACCATGATGCTGCCGGAGGGTGTGAGTGGGTTGTAGAGGCCTAGCTTTTCAACCTTTGAGATTTCTGGAAAAGTCAGAGAGTAGTTAGAAACATCCACCAGTGTATATATGCTTTTCAAGTTCTTGCTTTCCTTACCAGTGATTTGGGATGATTCCCACAGAGACTCTCCAACCTTGAGGTCCTCGGCTCTCTTGTACACGAGCTTTCCATTGACATCAACGGGAACAAAGTGGCCTGCAGTGAGCTCCAACACGTTTGAAGCGCTGTGCACTTGGAAAACTTGGAGATGGCATTGGCATCATTGTGGCCGAATGCAACACATCTGAATAGATATTCTTGCCCACTAACAAGATTTGTAAATTTATGTATTAAACCTTGTCTCCAACATTAAGCTCCCTCACGAACTTAATTTCTCCATTATACATCTGAACAGTTGCACCTCCTATAATAGCTTGGAAATAGGAAAACAATGTGAATTCCTACCTGGGAAGCATCCTTTTCCTGGAGGGGGTGGAGGGACTGGAGTGCCTGGAGGGGGAGGCGGTGGGAGACGGGGACGGAGTTAGTGCCACTGCAACACTTGAAATGAAGGCAATGAAAGAAGCCAGGAAGATTAGAGCATTGGTATGAGCCATTGGAACAGAATTATGATATATCTAGCTAACTCGAAACTGCTGGTTCTAGAGCAAGCCATTTTATATCAGAATGTAAGCAGTTTTCATGTACCAAAAATTCAAACACAATGGACTGAATGAATTAAGAATACCTATTTTGGCGAGATCACGCTTTAGTTGTGCTCATAAAGCCTATATTAAGAAAGTTTCATGCGATAAGAAGAAAAAAGTAAGGAACTCTACTATATACTTTTCTTTACTTACTTTTTATACAAATACTATCAATGCAAGAAATAAAAGAATGATGTTTGTGGCAATCCTGCTCAATCCAGAAATATTAGTATAACTAATATCTTGAGCACTAATAACAATATTAGCAAAAATATAATGTTATCTTATTAGAGTATCTAGCTATACAATGGTAGTTAGTGCAAAATTGGAAAAATCTGCTAGTTTAGAGGAGAAAATAAGATATATTAAAAATAATTAATTAGTGATTTTGAGATCTCGGGTTCAAATACAATTTCAGGTTCTTTCAGTATATACTTATAATTATATAGCTTATAAATGTTTTTGAATTGACATATTATGCTTCTCATAAGATCTGAAATAGTGCATACATACATATAAACATACATATAATGTATTAGTCAATTTTATCAATTTGATTATTTAGTTGTTTCTAACATATAATAAAATTCAAAAACTCTGGGACCTGTAATTTATATGATTAATAATTGTTTCTAGAATTATAATATTATCATGGTTAACATTTGATTACCAGATTTAATTAGTTGCTTTAAGGTACTGCTATTTTCTATCTCCAATATTTTCATGAAGGAATCTAGACTAAATCCTATAATCAATTGTTACTAATTTTTTAATTCTTTATCACTTTGGATGTACAAAAACAAGGAGGTTATGTAGCCATGTTCTTATATCTCCAGTTTCTTAGTGTAATTATAACCTTCATTTACTATGCACAATGACACTGTTTTGTAATTGATCTTTACTGCCAGATTAAATGTTAAATTCTTTGAGGGTCTTGTAAAAGACTTTGAGGCTGATCATTTAATCATAATATAGCTCTATAAAATAAAATTGTTATATACAGTGACTATAATATATGTGTTTATATTTCTATCTAACTATACTATATTGCCAGCGAGCTAATTTTATATCTAGTTGCTTTTGACAAGCCTAATAAGGCTCACCTAAACACATTGTCTATTAACCTTAAATACATAAGTTTTATTATATTTTTTTAACTAGATCTCATTCCAGATATATCTTAGGAATTAGAATTAAGAATAATTTGCTATCAATTATAAACATATTTATAATCTATAAAATTTCTTAAACTTGGTGTAAATTGGGTCTAATATTCTATATTTATTCTTTTCATTTTTTTCTCATAATATAAATCCTTGCTCAAAGAAAAGATGAGTTTAAGAAAAGTAGCTTATCCTCTCTTGGCTCACCACCTCATGATAGTAAATTTTCTTATTGTTTTTTCATTATCTATCTTCTTAATCCAGAACATGTCTGACAAATCTCACACTATCATCCTAAGAGCTCTTTCTTTGCTTTTATTCTGGATCATCCACGAACAAAAGAGGAGGATTTTCTTTGACACATCCAACTGCATTGTAAGAGAATTGATTGAGCCAGGAATTCTCCTTGTTGTTTCCTCTCACCTTGGCACCTTTTCTTTCTTGGATCTCTAGAAACAAAAATCACTTGTTCTTTGTTTTGTATGCAATGAATCGTTGACATTGGCATGCTTTGCCTCACAGAGTTATGAAAGGCTTCATAGCTCCCTTAGCACAGCCTCATGGGAAAGTTTTCAAGTGAGCTTAACTTGAGTCAATGAAAGTATAAATTGATACCAACTATCAAAACAAGAACGAAAAACTTGACACCACCAGATTCAGCACTTCTGCTGTCAAAAGACAGGGGCTTTGCAGCACACACGATCCTTGTCTTGCTCTATTGCATCTGACTTTGGAGAATCAGGCTATGACATCTTTGCAGTCTCTTCTCTATAAGTATTGCTATAATTCTCCCAAATCATTGTAAGAATCCTGGTGATTATCCCTATAGAAGTTTTTCTTTGTGAAGCTTTAGGATGTGCTAGTTTCCTCCAAAACAAGTAGTTTCTTGTCATGATGGTCTCTAAGGAATTTTTAAAATTATCACCACATTGATGATGGAACAATTGCTCGCCACATGTAGGCTACGTGGCCGCAGGAGCGCTCCATCCAGATGTCTGGCATTCAACCAACTAACTAAAAGTCACTCCAGGCGAAAACGTTAATAAGAGTTTGTATTATGTCACTACCAACTGGCAAAGGTGTTGTTTACTTCCCCTCTCCCTTGAAAGCCTAAATGATCTGGAAAAATTGACATACTCCATTCTTATATGGACAACATTGTGGTGAGAAAAAAAACTAATTCCAATCTACCAGTGTCTTTTTTTGTACCAAAGTAAAAATAACAATTAAATGAGATAATTATTGGTGGGGGTTTATAAATAAAAAATTGGTGGGGGTAAATAAATAACAAATTATTAATTATTAATTAAAATTAAAATAAGTAAACCAAGTGTTGCTACTAGCACAGCAAATTACTTTTCAAGTTTGACACTGGATTTTTAACTTTACCATCTTCATCTTACATAGGCTATCTATTTATTTATTTTTATAAATATAAAGATTAAGAAAAAATGTATAACTTAAAGTATTTTTGTCTATATATTATAGATATACTATTTTAAGAAAATTGATATTTTGTGTCCAATACTACTTTATTAATTCTAAAAATATTAGCATTAATACGAATATTAATAATTTATGTAAATACATAACATTAGAACACAAATGGTAGACAGTGAAAAAATTAAATACTTTGGAGCTCAAGCACTTGGTAAGTGAGGTTTGGATGAAAATCTTAAAAATTAGTGCTCATTGAGAAAAGAGAGATTATAAACCACATTATAAATAAAAATACTATCATATAGATACAAAATAGTTTTATATATTATGAATTGCAGCTTATCCTATGTGTATTACTTAGTTCTATTGATTCACTCGCATTTAGCTAGGTAAAATGATATCTTATGTATTACTAATTAGATTATGTTGCTTCTAAAAATATTTAAAGCATACTAACAATATTACTTATTATTTTATCTGGATTTCCTTTTGGTAGTGCACAAGAATTTCTCTATTTCTATTATAGTAATTAAATTTCAGATTTAACTATTTAAAACTAGATGTACTAAACACTTTTAGTTTGCATAACATTTTATTGATTTTCTTAATAATCTCAAATGGCCAAATATAACAAGATGCAAGTAGTATGTTCTTTTGGGGGAAGCTCTTAATGATGTTGTCAGGAGGCAAAGACACTAGATTACTAAGGACATCAAGGAAGTAAATGATTCAATTAATTTCATCAAGAATTTTCTACTTTGAATTAATATTTAAGATATAAATCAATTGTATGTCTGTGATTACCATTAGTATATCAAATATACCAAGCATTATAGTATTATGGAATAGAAATTATCACTAAATATTTGTAACAACTATGAGGTTTATTGTTGGTTAGAGTTGTGAGAAAGTTGCTAGTCTTACAACCTTTGTGAGGACAAGGGGAAAATTAGCTTTTTTGTGATGAATGTTATAAGTTATACTACTTTTGTGATGGATGAATTAGGCTCAAAGAATAGAGATGGCAATGAGGCTAAAAAGCTCCATTCAGATTAGTACAAAGACAATATAAAGGGTAATTGTTTTTATTGCAACAAGAGTGGATATCATGATAAAAGTTATCTTTTTGTGAAAGGGTCAAGGAATGCTAAGATGAATATAATTAAATCAATTGTGGATATAAATTAGAAGTATATTGTGATATCTCTTCCAAGCCCTATAGCAAATGTTCAAGAACCTAAATTTTG